TATCACATGTTCTCACTCATATAGTGGACCTGGAACATCCAACGTAATACTATAAGAAAATGACTGACAGTGGTGGGAAACTATGCAGGGGGAGGGGAAGGGGGATGGGACTAATGGTAGTCAATATCTGTCTGGGAACAGGGAGACACCTCTTATTAACAAGGGTGCCTGAACGAAGCATATTGGTATACCTAACCCTTAACTGTACCCCACAATATCATAATAAAAATATTGATTATAAAAAAAAAACGGGTTGAGGCTGCTGAAGCAAATACTCTGACTACAATAGAAGAGAAGCTAAGAGCCTCAGACTATGAGAAAGTCTATGTTAGAGATAGAGGAACTCCCACAAATATGACTTATTGGGGACATTTAGCACAGGGCCAAAATATGACATGTTAAGTAGCCCATCTGATGAGAATAATTATATTTCCCTTCAATTGAGCCCCTATCTGCTAGTCTGTATTATAACATAAACTCATTATATTAAAAAAAGTTGTTAAATTCTGAAAGTGATCCTGTAATTTAGGTATTGGTCTTTGTTTTAAAAGAAGTCTTAAGAAGTGGAATAATTTCTCCAAGGTCTCAAATGTAGTACAGTGGAAGTGACACAGGACAAGGGACCCCAAAGTTGATGTCCAGCCTGAGAGACCCCCAGAAGAGTTAAAATAATCTACATTATCACATCCTTAAACTCCTGCTCTTAATTGGCATGCAGTTCTGCCCTGTCGGCACAATAATAGGAGTCTGTAAGAATGATACTGTCTGTTTAGGGAATCCAAGGGCATAGGCCATTCATTTTGTTTGTTTGTTTGTTTTTTTGAGTTGAAGTCTCACTCGGTCACCCAGACTGGAGTGCAGTGGCCGCTCCCGGTCACCGCAGCCTCGACCCACTGGGCTCCGGCGATCCTTCCGCCTCAGCCTTCCGAGTAGTCGGAATTACAGGCATGCGCTACCACGCCCGGCTGATTTTTTGATTTATTGTAGAGATGAGGTCTCGCTGCCCAGGCGGGTCTCGAACCCACAGGCTCAGGCAATCCACTCACCTCAGCCTCCCAAAGGCGCAGGATTACAGGCTGAGCCACCAAGCCCAGCTAGGCCATTCATTTTTAAAGGATTCCCACCAGAAAGATGAGAAATGACGTTTGGAGACATAAGAAAGTATACTTAGGTTTCTTTATAAAGTCATTTTTGTGGAACACAATATTCCCTACTGATGATAGATTAATGAAACTTCTTTTTTAAATTGGAAAATGTTTTTGCAAAGAGTTCAGTTATTAGGAACACGGAAAATTCCTTTGCTTTGCAACAACCCAGTTAGATTTTATCAAAATCCTTTGCATCTTGGGAAAAGAATGTTCAGTGCACGTTTTATCCACCTTTATTTACGTACACAGTGAGGCCCGTCACTGCAGCATGTTCCAATAGGGTGATCGTTAGGCTAGCATGAGACCATCAGGGGTCCGGCAAAAGGGGTGGCCGCCATTCTTTTTATCCAGTTCCAACAAGTTTTTGTTGTTGTTGTTGTTGTTGTTGTTTATAGAGACAAAATTTCACTCTGTCACCCAGGTTGAAGTACAGTGATGTGATCATAGTTCATTGCAGCTTCGAACTCCTGACCTTAAGTGATCCTTTTGCCTTAGCCTCTCAAGTAGCTGGGATTACAGATGCAAGCCAGCGTGCCTGGCTCCCACAACTGGCTTTGATGCTAGTGTCCCATTAACTTTTTTTTAAAAAGATTATGTGTAGGGTAATTTGAACTTGCATCAATTTACAGAAGAACAATGATATCATGCTTTTAAAAATGCTAATGCTACAATTGTAATGTTGCAACCTTATTTAATGCCAAAATGACAGTTGGTAATGTTTGGGAATATTTGTATGAAAACAATGACATTTTATTCTTAAAACTCGACATGGCAAACTTTGAGGAAGAAAAAAGACTTGGATTTAAATGCAAATTGGCCTTTCATGAAATTTGCCCTTTGGTTGTAAAGCCTTCAAGAATGATCAAACAAAGAGGTTTCATAATTAAAACTTATTTTTCAACCTCTCTCTAGCAGAAACAGAACTTATTAGTTATCTAGGGACTGATCAAGCCCTAGATGGTGCTAAACTGACTGTGTCTGTGCACCTGTTTTTTTCTTCACAGACAGCAGATGAACCACACAAGCACATCAAGCTCTTAGCTTCGTAAGTACACCTTGTTCTGAAGTCCAAACTGTTTGACTGCTCCCAAGACTTACACACCTTTAAAGTAGAAAACTTTGCGCACATTGGGGTGATTCAAGGGAATGTGTTTAAGGTTAAAGACAATGCTCCCAAAGAGTGGTCCAAAACTATTTTCAGCAGTGGTAGTGCTGTAGCAATAAGTAATAATTGCAAATATGTAATTGCTACACGCAGAGACTGTTCTGAGTGCTGCTTTTTTTTTTTTTTTTTGGGTT